TGGCTTACTCTGTCAGCACCATGTGATCTACAATCATTGTAGCCACATGCATTATTTACTGGAATGACATTCATGTTTGGGTTAATTTACAGGCCACATGGGTATTAAATGACAGATCTGAACCAAAACATGTGGTACCAAAATCAGCAGTTTCCAACCCTCAATGACTAATATAAAGTGCAAAAGATGCTCAGATTACACTGGTGTTCACAACTTTAACGAACTTCAAACCATAAGGACCACACAAGGTGTTCACAACTTAAACCAACACACTACTTAAATACTTCAAACTGAGAACATATTACATCATAGGCATTCAATTACACTGAAGCATTCCTATCCTGCATACAATTTTGATACAAAGCACACGGCCACAACAAGCCCTATGACAATGAACTTCTTGGCCTTCTTTCTGTGCTTCACGTCATTTTCAAGAAAGGTTTTCACACACTTTACATCTTCTTGGACATGGCTAATGCGTTGGACAAGACCTTCAACAATGATCTTAACTTCATCCAGCTTATCTTTCTTGTGACCAGGCCTGATTATGTCTTCTCTTCCTAGGTCTTCCTTCCATAAGAAGTAGCCGCATCCATCACCCTGTATATTTTGAAAACCAATCACAATAACTAATAACTTCAAAAGATAACTACAATGAAGACTTACGAAGACATCCATAACTAATAACTCTGTATATTTTGCATACATCCATATCAAACATCCACAAAACCTACGAAATTAGAAATGCACATTTCATATGAAGACTTACTAGCCATTTTTGACATCCATAGAATTGTCTCCCACTCTCCCTTCCGACGCACAACGGGGCTTTCAATCCACACCAACAATACACTGCAGGCTCGTAATTAGTTGTGCTCTTACGTTCTTTGGTACCACTTGATGCAGACGACGACGCCATTGATAGACACGAGCTCAGGAAATGGAGAAGAAGAACGACAGGCGCAATGGAAGGAATTAGGGCTACAGCGGTGTTATTTGGGAAAGGATAGAGTCATTAAGTGATGTGGAAATTTTAAATCCATGTCAGCAATGGAACCTCAATGTGCGATGTCCACGTGAGCGAGCAACGGGCTAACCGGGAAGCATCCGGTTATGTAGACCTAATTGACGGGATTTTCATTGTTGGCGGGTTCAATTGAGGGTTTCCAAAGTACGGGGACTCCATTGACGGATCGCGCATAGTAGGAGGGCGCAATTGACAGTTTTCCCTATGAATAGTGACTGTGAAGTTCATTTTGGGACGGAGGGAGTATGAGTTTTGATATATTTTCTATAAAATTAGATTATAAATAAAAAGGTTATATCAATTTCAAAAAAAGAGAGTTTTTTTAAATTGAGGGACCCATCTTCATAAGCTTACCATCTGTTGCTATTGTTCTCTACTTTCGGTTTAAAGCATAAGTCCCCAACACCGTTGGCGGCTTTCATTAACCAAGGTTGCTCATAACACTATTTTGATAAATACTTTTAGCTCAATTCTAATTTCGTAAATAATATTTTATTTAGAATTAATTTGGAAAAAACTCCATGTATTCTACTTTGATTACATTTTATTTATAATATACTAAACGATTATAATACAAAAAAAATTATAAAATTTGTATCATAGAGTACAAATTGAAAATATGATTTTTACAATTAAATATATTAATGACTAAAGTTGTATGTTGTCAATTGCACATATAATGTTGCAATTATATAAGAATACTATAAATGCGGTAATTATGTACTTTACAAATCAAAGTTTAGAATATGAATTCTACAATCATAAATGTTCATGTTACTTAAACTACGTATTACCTCTGTCCCACTTAACTTTGCCAAGTTTAAGTTGAGTGAGAAATTAGAAAAGTAAATACCGTATTGTTGAAGTTTGGGCAAATGAGAGAGAAATGAACAAAGCCACAAATTAATCAATTTTATTGTAGGTACCCCAACTTTACCCCATTATGTACCCCATATAAAAACCTTTTAAAATATTTACCCCCCTCACCTCACCTCACCTCCCTCAGGTGCGCACAACCTTCCCCCCTCGCCTCCATTCCCAAATCTCCCGCCCCTCCCGCCTTTTCCCTTCCCCAGCAACTTTCCAAAAACTACCACCCGCACTGACCTCAACAGTTCCCAACCCATCCGCCACAACCACCATCATCACCCCCACGAAACAACCGACCGTCGTCCTCACCCCCACAAACCAACCCAGTTCACACTTGTTCAGCCCAGCCCTATTATAAGGCGTAAACACTTGTTGTGAAGATTTTGAGCTCCATGGTTCACACAAGCTTAACACAAATTGATGAAAGGTATGGATTTTCTTCTATTTTTGTTGGATTGTTTTTATCTTGGTGTGAATAGAGTTGTAATTTTAGTATTGTTTGTCATTATGTTTGTGAATAGTTTGAAGTTGTCTTGTGTTTTGTTTGTGGCTTTGGTTGTGTGTGGTTTGAACTTCTCTGTCATGCTTGTGAACTATTTTTGTACATGTGATTTGAGTGTAATGTGATTTAAAATGTCTGGCAAGCCTTTTGAGTTGTGTGACTTAATTTAGAATTGTTAAAAGTAGGTTTGTAGTTGTATGTGATGTCAGTGTAGTTGTCGGGCCAACCATATGAAATATTTGGGTCGTGAATCGGAATTGTTTAAATTTGGTTTGTAGTTGTGTGTAAAGTCAAATAAATTGTCTGACAGCCCATTTCTAGTTGTATGTCATGTACAAGTAGTTGTTTGACCAGTCATATGAAATATCTGGGTCGTCAATTTGAATTGTTTAAATTTGGTTTGTAGTTGTCTGTAAAGTCAAATAAATTGTTTGGCAACCCATTTCTAGTTGTTCGTCATGTACAAGTAGTTGTCTGGCCTGGCATATGAAATATTTGGGTCATCAATTTGAATTGTTTAAATTTGGTTTGTATTTGTCTGTAAAGTCAAAGAAATTGTCTGGCAGCCCATTTCTAGTTGTCTGTCTGTACAAGTGTTGTCTGGCAACCTATTTTATTCTCTGTCCCGTCATTTTAAACTCATTGTAATGTCACTGATTTGCCTAAAATGTGTGATATGTATTGGTTGAAATTATACAAGGCGTTTGGACTACAACACTACTAGAATAATAGCTATTTGTTGCGGTCATTTTTACCTATTTGATGCGGTTATGAACTGCAGCAATTGGCAGGGCAACAAATAGTAGAAAAAAGTATTTTCTGCGGTTCAGAACCGTAGCGAATAGTCATTTATTAAAAATGGGTTTTAACTTATTGCTGCGGTTCAGAACTGCAGCAAATAGGTAGCAGCAAAAAACGGGTTTTGAATTATTGCTGCGGTTTAGAACCGCAGCAAATAACTATTAGTTTCGCAACAAAAACACTCTCTAAAACATTCTTATTTGGTGCATTCACTAGTGCAAAAAACACATTCTATAACTAGCTTTTAATATGGGTTCAATTAGAACCGTTATAATATGTAGACACGGGGTCATATTCATAAATAATGAAATTTTCGAGTAACTGTAGTGGGTACATATTATAAATATAAAATGTTATCAATAACGGTTTGAAAAGGAACCGACATAGTTCACAAAAACAGGGTCATTTATATAATTTTCGAAAACTTATGTTTTAAACGGGATCTCTTTTATAATTTAAAAAAAAACATTTCTATGTCAGCTCGTTGGTAACCCTTATGAAATATCAATTTTTTAAAATAAAAGTAAAAAACAAATAACAATAGCGGAGAGTAGGGCAAAAAGACGAATTGAAGCACCGCCATTAGCTGCTCTCAACCAAGAAGAAAATGAAGCATCGTCGACTGCTACTCTCCATTAATAGACGAAGCACCGTCGACCGTCGCTGCAGCTCATCCGCCGCCGCTCGCCGTTGCCGCTGCTCTCAGTTTCTGTCCGCAGTTTCTGGACGCCTGGGGCGATTATTCGGCCGACGTATACATGAATCAGCGATTTAAGAAAATCGGCCATAGGTTTTAGTTTTTAAAATTGAGCTACCGTCCGCCCACTTTATTTTTCAGATTTTATCGAGACTTATTTCCTGCCTTCTCTTAACTGCACTTCCTCTCAATTTAAGTTGATTAGGTTTACTTTAAGTTGATCTGTTAATGTTAAATAAACCTACTAAAAATCTAAAACCTTTTGTAAGTTTATTTAAACTTAAACTCTCAAGTTTCTCTTATAATTTAATAAAACTCACTCAAACTTTTCTCTTAACTTAAACTTAAGTTAATATATGAATAACTCACTCAAACTTCTCTCTTAACGTTTGAATTTAATAAAACTCACTCAAACGTTTCTCTTAACTTAAACTTTTCTGTTATTTGAATATTTTCTAAGTTACTGAGAATATGATAACTTAAGATAATATGTTATTTGGGATGGTAATCTATTGTTGAACTCGTTAGGTTCGTTGCTTATTGAGTTGTTCAATGGAAGCTCCCATTGCTTTATAATTTATGGCATGAAATCATTAATTATAGAAGCTGGTTTGTATATTTTTTACTGCATACATAGATAAAAATGGCTGAATGACGGAATGTAGGCAAAAAAATCCATGCTCTACTTTTCACTTATGGAGTAGCAGTAATACAAGTAACCACAAAAATAAGCAACAAGCTAAAGCATGGCATTTTTCCAGATTATATCCCTATGGGTGTTGCAGAGTCCATTTGTTTTGCTGGAAAAGTAGTCAGGGTACTTCGAAATCCTAGCTTTTTGATTTTTTAGAGCCCAGTTGACAAGGATGGCTTTCTTCTCTTCGCAAAACTGGCGTACCTCTATTTACCTAATACGACGCTTTCTTCTCTGCTATGGAACGGCCGCCATAGTGAACGAGTGCTGACTGCCGAGTCTTCTTCTCTTCCATTTCTGGATATCCTTCTTCTTTGAGTATCGAATCAACTTCTCAGCCTTCTCGACTCTGTCCAGGAGTCCAGGTAAAGAACTAAAGATATTTTCATTGTGTTATTATAGCTATTATGATAGTTCGAAAATTTGTGCTTAGTTGAGAATTTGTTACTATATGTTCTGACCTTTGTATTTCTAATATGCCTGTTTTTTTTATAAACGGAAATATTTTAATATTTCTATTTTGAGGAAGCCATGGACACTTCTGTGTTCCCAGATGATAGTAATGTTGTAGTTTTACTGTTTTAGGAAATTGAATAGTTTAGTTTTCATTTGCTAAGCATCCTGAAATGATTTTAGAAAACAAACTTACTTATTTAGTAATATTTTTTTTCTATTTTGTGGACTTGCCTACCATAATCTTGCTGGATTTCTTTTGGCAGCTGTCTATAAGGTAGTATTCCTTTCATTTCTGTCCGGTGCTACCCCTCCCCATCCTCAAACGCGCAAAAAAGCAGAGCCCAGATGGTGATATCATTGATTGCATCCATATTTCTCACCAAAAAGCTTTTGATCATCATCATATCAAGAACCACACAATTCAGGTACCTTTTTTTTCCTTTTCTCATTTAAATGTTATTTATGCTTTAATTGGAATTTGGATGATTTTTGTTTTTCTTTTTGTTGGCATGTGTGGTAGATGAGGCCAAGTTACCATCCAGAAGGGCTGTTTAAGGATGGAGAGGTAAGCAAAGAAAAGGAGAGTGGGAATGATGGGTCAAACCTTATTCCTCAGCTTTGGCATTTGAATGGGAGGTGTCCAGAAGGAACAATTCCAGTTAGAAGGACAAAAAAAGAAGACCTTTTGAGAGTGAGCACTATGAAGAGCTACGGAAAAAAGATGCTGAAAGGTGTTCCTAAACCCAGGTCTGCTGAACCTGATTTCATTTCCCAAAATGGACACCAGGTAACATTCCTCATTCATTCTGGAGTCTGGACATCCTAAAATAACATGAAGATGGGATGAATGAAAAGCTGTCAATAGAAAACTGAAAAAGTAGTTCAAATGTATACGATGGAACCATTTACTAAGTAGACACTTGAAATAAATCATAAGTTGAGCTTCAATGGTCACAATTTCCATTTGCCACACCCGCCAATGCTCGCTGAGTGAAGGATATTACATATTGCACATCAACATCCAAAATCTGGTGGTGAATCACAAACCTGGTCATCATTTTCCTTTTTGAATTCTTGAAGCAGAATAGGATCAAACTGACAAAGTTCAACACAGCTGAATCTTTCCACTCACCTCAGACATTCCCCATTTTTCGACAATGGATGATTAGTATGACTTCCATGCAACGACAGAAGAAGGGATAGTGAATGCAACAGCTTCACAGATTGTTGGAAGATAAATTTTAGTGTCTAGTTAAGGCTTCACCGAGTTGGCCGCCTAGTTGGTGACTAATCGGCGCCTAGTCCGCCTAGGCGCTAGGCGGTGCTTGACCGCCTAGTTGGTGACTAATCGGCGCCTAGTCCGCCTAGGCGCTAGGCGGTGCTTGACCGCCCGACTAGCGCCTAGCGACTTTTAGAACATTGGTTGTAACTGTTAGTGATGTATTTGAAATATTTCAAGCTTAACAGCAAGACTGTGAACTGGGTTCGAGAATTTCACATGTACTTTTGTTGTTGAACTTAAGTACTTTGGTGTAATATATATTATTGTATATATAAAGTTAAAAGGAAAAGCTTGTTTTAATAAAATTATTACATTTTAAAATATAAAATCACTTATATATATATATATAAGGTTGACCAGCGATATATAAGTGACAGTAAATCTGTAAATGCTTTTATTTTTTTTTTTAAACAAAAAACTACTTTCTATAACGGTTGGTGATTTAACCCATATAAAAAGGATTTTATATGGGGTATTACTGGACTGACACGGAAAACATTTTATAACGGTTAAATTCGTAACCGTTATAAAAACATTCTATACGGGGTATGACTACCCAACACGAAAAGTGTCCGACTTTCTATATCGCTTGCTACTATGCCGTTACGGGAACCGACATAAAAAGTGTTTTTTAACCCATACAGAAAGTGTTTTCTACACTAGTGATTTTTTCTGAATTATATCTTATTTACAAAATAAGAAACAATTGAATTTGACAACCTAGTATCTCATCGATCAAAACCATAATTCCAAAATCAATTAAGTTATACATCACCAAAATCAATAATGAATAAAATACAAGTTACATCTTTTGTAAGTTTATCGACACTAAAAGTTTACAATAAATTATCACACCCTCATGAACAACGCATTGCGAACTTTGAATACTTCATCACTTGAAAAGGGCTCATCTGTTTTGATGTCCTGATAAACCTAAAATATTAAACATTTATAATTAGTATACATGTATACCTTTCAAGAATGTCTTGTTAGTTCAGATAACTTACATAAATTCATTCAACAATCAATTAAGAAAATTCATAAGTATTATTATTTACCTGTTCCATAATTGACCATTGGAGATATACTTTGCTACGTCGTACATAAATAAAATTTTAATCCAATAAGAGCTCATCAACGTGTTTGTAGTTTATGTTTCCTTGTTGGGATTCTACATATAAACCTGAACATGAAAATTAAGTAATAATACAAAGACGACACTTAAAACCAGAAAAGGAAGACCATGGCATAGAGATAGGGATGGACCCGGGCCGGTCCGATTCCGGTTCCGGACCAGGCCCGGGCGGGCTTTTTTGCAAAATGTTGGGCCCGGAACCGGTACGGGTTGATACCGGGTCCGGGCCTAATCGGGCCAGGCCGGACCGGGCTCGAGTCAATGTCTAATTTTTTTTCGGGGTGTCTCTGCGCACCCTAGGAAATGCCCAGCGCACCCATTTTTGAACAGGTATGGACAATTATACCATCTTCCTATATTTTTTTAACAATTTATCTTATTCAACCGTATATTTGCGTTGGCCTCCTCTTGGTATTGTCTAATACTCGAATGTCACCCAATTTTCAACTTTTTCACTTATTTCCTTGACTTCTTTCATACTCCATTACTCCGTAACTTTTTGTTTCTAAAACAATACTCTTTTTTTCAAAGGCTAAAAATGTACTCTTTGTTTGAGTTACATGGGTATCATTTTTATGTAGCCGTAATAATATATTTACTCCGTAATATTTCCTACTACTAACCCTAGTTACTAACAATTAACAAATACGTAGTGCTATTATAAACATTTGTAAAACACCAGAATTTTAACAAGATTTTTCAAATACATAATATAGAAATTAGTTCAAATAGGACTAAAACTATGGCAAAAACCTAAAATAGGACTTGCTATGTTTTTATTCCAAAATAAGACCATATGAGTCCTATTGGAAACATACTTATTTTTGCATTCCATTCTTACCCTTCCATTAAATATGAATTAAAAATAGTCAAAAGCCATAATTAAATGTTTAATTCATAATAAATTCGAAAAAAAACAAAAATTCGTAGAAATATAATTAAAAAATTTATAAAATTTTTATAAAATAAAAAATTCAAAAACTTTTTTTTAAATAATTTTATTTTTAAAAAAATTAATAAAAAATAGTAAAACTCCGTAAAAAAAATTTAAAAAAATATGGATGCCTTTCCCACCGCCTGTACTACCTCCCAGCACCACCACCTCCGGCCGATGAAAAAAATGCCATTTTCCCAGAAAAATGCCATTTTTTTCTGAAAATGCCAAAAAAGTGGCATATTTCTCTTTTCGAATGACAACATTTTCATATTTTTCTGCCATAAATATGACATTCGTAATGAACTTGGCATTTTTTTCCCCTGGTGACTGGAGGTGGTGGTGCCGAGGCGGCAGAGGCGGCGGCGATTTGTTTTTTGAGTTTTTATTTTTTTTTTAATTTTTTTTAATTTTTTTAATATTTTGAAAAAAAAAATAATTAAATTTTTTATATCGAAATGTTTTTCTTAATTTTTTAGTATTTTTTACGAATTTTTATTATTTTTTATTATTTTATTAGGAATTAAAACATTTTAATAGCTATAAGGGTATAATTGTCCAAGGTACACATAATTAGTCCTATGCAAACATAGTTCATTTTTTGGTCCTATTTGTGAAAAGTGAATGACTTTTAGTCCTATTTTGATAATTAACTCTACATAATATAAGTAAAAACTAACTATATACTATCTCCTTCCCATAAAATTCTGCTCACTTTCTTTTTTGGGTCATCCCAAAAAATTATTCTCACTTACCATTTTTGGACAATCTGTGTGGTTCACATTCGTTTCATTTTTTTCTTACACAACTACAACCATACATTTCCACTTTATTCCACTTTCTTAATATGAATGCCAAGTCAAACCAGGAAGTATTTTTTGGAACGTAGGGAGTACCATTTTTACTCTACGTCATATCCTTCATTTGAGTTCGTTAATTAATTTTTTTTGGGTTTACTTACCATTAATCAATTATTTATATATTGCTACTACTATTATTTGGGTTGCAAAACTAATTGATTAAATTGTAACACACCGATAATTTCCAACCTTTTTACTACTACCTGGAGTATTATTTAAAACTATGATAAATTATCCGGCCTCTAAACCTGGAGAATTAATATTATGATCATCATTTTTATACTTTTGTTATGTTTTTTTACTAATAAAGTAGCTATGGGCTTATGGTACATGTGATCTAAATGTAAAAATAAGTACTGCCGTTTAGAAGAACTCATTTTAATTTTTTGGTAAATAATAATAGGAATGTTTAAAATCTACATAACAAAAAAATATTTAGATAGAAAGACTGAAATTTTAAAAATTGAGAAAACAAAGGGTAAATAGAAAATAATTAAAAAACATTATTGAAGAAAAAAACGATTACGACACAAGTAGAAAAATTGTACGTGGCGGGGACCTTGATGCAAATAAAAAATTGAAGAGGACAATATTGTACACGCATGGTTACATAAAGTAAATTTGAGGTGCATAAAGCAACCCCTTTTTTTTTTGCTTTCTTGTTATCCCCCGACCCCCCCCCCCCCCCTCATCCCCCATCCCCCATCCCCAAACCTCCCTAAAACACCCAGCCCTACCCTAGGAAAAGAAAAAAATTGAAAAAACAAAAAAAAATGACCTGGGCCCGGCCCGAACCGCCCGGGCAGGTTCGCCCAAAACTGGGCCCGAGCCCGGCCCGCCCAAACGGGCTAAAAGCCCGGAACCGGCCAACCGGTCCCGGTCCGGTCCGGGCCCAAACAGTAGCGGTTCTGGGCCGGTTCCGGGCCGGCCCGGCCCGGCCCAGTCCATTCCTACATAGAGGCATACTTTGTTGTAAAACATTTGAGATGTGTAGGCTAACCGACGAAGCTTCCAATGCTTTGATAAACCTAAAATATTAAAAAAGAACACAATTAAAACCAGGAATGTCAGCCACCTTGATTTCAGAAATCTGTATAACATTTGAAAACATATAAAAGAGTTCAGAAGTGCGGAAATATTTTAAATGAAAAAATCCATAACCATAAAAAAGCAAAGGTCACTGAAGTTAGTGTTAGACAGAAAAAATGTTGGTGGTAAGAAAAACAGATGGATGTAACTTGGAACCTACAAAAAGCGTGTTTCCATAAATTTTGTCGGTAATGGACTCTGGTGCTGGTTGGCCACTGCTGTAATTGAACTGCAAGATCAATATTAGATATGTATACCAAGCTTAGATATTCCATTCCCGTTAGCAGAGGTTATAACAAGCGGAGATTGATTGGCTATTCTATTCTATAATTGGTCCGGTTCCGGTTCGGGCCTCAGTTCATGAAAGGGGAGGCCCGGAACCGGCCCGGGTAACCCCCGGGTCCGGTCCGGACCAGGCCTCGGTTCATGTAATTTTTTTTTTTGGCTTTTCCTAAATAACCCCCAACCCTCCCCCCTCACCCCCAAACCACGCCAAACCACCTCAAATGGCCCATCATACCCAGCCCAACCCAAAAACTTAAAAACAATCAAAAAAAAGAAAAAAATAAATAAATTGGCCCGGACCAGGCCCGAACCAGCCGGTTCACTATTTAGCAGGCCCAAGCCCGAACCGCCTACCTCACCGGGCCGGGTGGCCCGAACCGGGCACCAACCGGTTCACCGGGCCAGTCCGGGCCCGCACAGTAGCGGGCCGGTCCAGTTCCGGGCCGGGCCGGTTCCGGGCCGGTTGGCCCGGCCCGAATCCACTCCTAAATCCAAACATGTTCATACTTCTCAACCTCTGATTTTTTTTTTTTGATAAATTCGTGGAAATATATACATGTTGGGAAGATGATGATTTAAAGGATTCAGAGCAAATTTGTGCTGATAACGTGTTATAACATGGAAGGAAATAATCAGAATATTAGGGAGAGAAAGTATAGTATGAACACTTAGTGATAGAGAGATGTATTAGAGATGTTCTAATGGTGTGTTAATTACAATGGAGAAGACTCATATTTATAGGAGAAAAGTTAAGCTTATTAGGATTAGAGGATAATTGTGAACCACACAATTATCATCTACAATCATAATTATGATTTCCTAATTATTTATACAATGGTGATAATGATTCCTAATCAGGAATAGTTGGAACATAACTAATTCAATATATTTCAACAGTTTTCTAAATAATACTACATCTATCAATACACATTTTCTGTGTTATAGAACAAAGCATTCTTAAATACCTTAATCTCACCTTCGCAATTGTTTTTAAATACAATTTCCAAATTCACACTACAATATGACACCAACAGTTGGGTATCTAGTTATCTTTGCATTACCCTCCGGAAGCCTTGTTTCACCAAAGAGCCCTTGAATATCTTGAGATGAAACTACAGCTGTTTAGACTACAAAGAGTTACCATCTTGCTGCTAGTTATAAAATACATCACAGGTTCTACTCATTTGAAGGCCATGATGAGAGAGAGAGAGAGAAGTGTTCTAAGTATTAGTTTGATGACCCATATATAATATATCTACACTTCCAGCAGATGCTTGATTCGCTGCACGATTGCTTCCAAAGTTCTTACGGTTCGACTCCCGTGCTATCCTGGAACCAAACTGTACAGAGAAGTTTTATAGATTGTATATGACAGGTAAGCACCTCATAGTATGGACATGCAGTTTTCCGTTTTTGGAAAATAAAAGGGCGCTTTGAATCGGTGAATTAAATATTTAAATATATTCAATTATTTAATGTATTCAATTATTAAATATATTTAATGTACTAAACATATTATAAAAGGGTGTTTTTGAAAAAAAAAGTCAATTAAATATATTCAATTATTTAATGTCAATTATTATCTTATGTTTGGTTTTATTATTATATACACATATAAGCAAATTAAATATGACTATATTTTGGGAAAATGCATAAATTAGATTGCTTAGTAAAACTTCATCTATGTTTAACTTCCCACTGCAACAGACACCCGGCAAGTTCCTAGATCCAAGCAGACCAAGTTATCGGGGTAATTCACTCATGTGAAAATAGGATAGCTAAGATAGTAAATTAATATTTGATTTAAAAATTGCATTAGATAATATTGCCAGCACTCTCTAGGCACCTCAACCAAAGATTTAAGAAAAGTAAAATAAAAATACACACATGGTTACTCAGCGGATTATCACTGTGATAAGGCATTCAATTTGATATCTTGATTAAGCTTACTAAAAGGGCAGCCTGGTGCACGAAGCAACCCTGCAAGGCAAAGGTCCGAGGAAGGGTCTGATACCTCTCGGTCACACAGCGCTCCCTTTCATCTTAATTAAGCTTGATAAAAATATGTGCGCACAGAAAAACAAGTGTAAAGTTTAAGAATGAACACCTGGATTGCTCTTTTCGGCAGAGAAGCAGCTTCAGATAATCCAAGCACTCGGGCAATCTACAAAACAAACGTTATTTCAATAGCATTTAGTTGTGAATGACATGGAAAGCGACTCCTCTTTAAGGGTCAGGTTGGAGCCAGGAAAATAGGGAAAGATCATAGAGCTTTAGGCCCTGTTTACTAACAGGAATATTTTCTGTTTTTCCAAAATCCTGGAAAACCGGAGATAGAATAATTAAAAAACCAGTTTACCTCATTGTTTTCCAAAACAAAAAAATTGAAACATATCTCGGTTTTTTCTTCATAAACGGAGAAGCCACTTATACGCGTTTTCCTAAATCAGAAAACACAGTGCTACAGTGCCCGAGTCTTCACCTACCCTCCTCGTCTACCGTCTCTACTTCGCCAACTCCCTTGCTACTAAAGTGGTAGTTTGCCTACCAACTTTACTTCTTCGTCATCTCCTTCGCATCGCCAAGGAGCTCTTAAATACCACTGCCGTTCAACACTCCTCAAACAACGGTTCGCTGCCATTGCTGCTCCCAGACTCCTCAAAATTGGTTTGCTGCCATCGCTGCTAGGAGTTCAAGGTAACCTCTCAATTTCAGAAATTAATTTGTGTTGGAGAAATTGCATAAAGCCCTTGTTTCAAAAGCTTCCAGCAACGACAAAGCCCTTGCATAAAGCCCTTGTTTCAGAAATTTCATAAGCTTTAAAAAGGCTTCAGTGAGCCCTCCACCAATGCTTTAAAGAAATTTCGAAAATAATAATTAAAACCTAAGGGTAATTTGTTCAAACAATTGCTTCAGTAAATATCCCAGCGTTTTATAATAGGCATGCCTTGTGTTCTGGAATGCTCCTTACTCAATTTGATTTGTACTAAAATAGGCATGCCTTATTGCCTTGTTCAATGTTTATAACTAAAATAAGTAGATATTTTAATAGAGAAGGTTTTAAGTGAGAGTTCAATTTTTTTATGCGTAGTAAATAATAATCTTTAGTCTCAAATATATGTCAAGATATACACCACACTTCAGAACGTTTCATAAAAAATCCTCCATCTGAATGGGCTCTCAACTCGTCAGTTTAGCAATAAACATTGTTAGCATATACTTGTCTTTCATTGCTTAGCAAAACTCAGTTCTCCTTGGTACATCAGTTGTAATAATAAGATCACTTCATATTTTGGTTTCATTTTAGCTTCTTGAGTTCCTCTGCTAAGATCAGAGAAAACATTTACGGCAAGACTTAGATGAAGAGCAAAATACATTACGCACTGCAGAACACTTGTTTTGGAAGAAAAAAAAAATTGGTACTTAGTAGATTGGATTTGTTAGCAGTTAGTATATTAGATTTGTTAGCAATTAATAGAAACCCGCTTCAGTTAGCAGTCTACCATATGCAGTTTTTAAATAACAAGGCAAGCCCCTGTTTTGTTAACAAGATTTGCTTTTGGGATTATTGTACTCAACTTTTTCGTATTTAGTTCATTTCCAACCAACAATTGTGAGACCCGAGGGCAAAAAATGAAATGAAAAATTGAAAAACTCTGGTAAACATGTTTTCTGATTTGGAAAACAAAAAACTGGAAAACGAAAACAGAAAACTGGAGACTTGAAAACAGAAAATGAAAACAGAAAATTGTTTCTGTTAGTAACCAGGCCCTTAATATTTGGTAAAGGAAGTCTTCAGACTTCATTTAAACTTGGAATTTATTCCCCTTTCCAACCATTTTCCACGTTCCAACCATAACCTTGGGAGAACACATAGCAAAAGAGTCTTCTTTTCTCTCTTTCTTTTTGGAGACAAATCTATAACCACATATTTATGTAAAACTACAATTTGAGCATGTGTAGGCTAAAGTTATTTCAGAAAGAATAGGAAAAAGACCTCTCTCAGGATCATCTTATCACCAACGCCACTTGGTTGATTCAGGTCAGCAATCTCCCACAGAGGAATATCAAGTAATGCCCTTATCACATCCTCATCCAAGAAAGGAAACCTAGCCTGATGAATCATACCATATAATATGCATACCGGTAAGTGGAAAAAGCTTCTAGAAATATGTCTACTTGAGCAGCAGATTTACCTCCTTGCCATTGTCAGCTATGCATCTATCGTCTCGCCCAAGATTCCTTTTCCAAATCCTTTGCATGTCTAGTTTCATTTCCTCACACAGCCCTTGCCAACTATTTATTAAGCATAGTGAATCAAAAAAATTGATGGAACCAAAAGACAAATGAAGCTACAATTACATACAAGAGAGAATTACCAGCACTATATCATCCATTCACTTTTTACACTGTTATTAAGATTTATAAGAGTAAGTTGTTAGTAGTTTATTAAAGGAAAAGTAGGGGAAATTATGGACAGTTAGCAGAGACATTGATTTCCAAAATGGAGAATTGAAGGATGCATCTCACTTTTTCATGTAAATTTGAGTTTGCACTCCATGGGTCATCCGGAAACCATCTCTCTATGTTTTAGTACACGCGTGAGGCTACATACATCCGACCCCCCCTTACCCCACCATAGGTGGGAGCCTTTGCGGCACTGGGGCAATGACGATGATGTTGATTAGCACCCCAAAGTTGAGACCTTGCACCAACTTTTTCTACTGAATTGAAGTTTAGACCCCATCATCAAAGGATTTTTGTAACTTTGGGGTGCAAATATCATTTACTTCAAAAGGGACGCAAACTCAAATTTGGATACAGATGGAGAGAAAACTCCAATTCCCCCTTAACAAGAAGTAATTATGGGCAAAATTGTGCATTGGTACTCACAATTTTTACTAGAACTTGGAAAGGAAAATGCACAATCAATATGTGAAAATGTTTAAAGCACGTGAGCTTATAGAAATGGAAGATTTAGCATTTTTTGGTTCAAATGAGGGGATGCGAAATAGGTAAATGGGAGAGAAGGAAAATGGGAAATCAGGAACGATGTTATGTTCGATTCAATGGAGTGAGGAATCATTTTTTCAGAAAGTTGTATAAATTATTATATTCAATATATACATATTTATGTAGTAATTAAAAACATAGTAGTATATATGTATAACAACAATAACAATTTGATAAAAAAAGAGAGAAAGAAATCAAGAAAAAATGTAACTCCAAAATACCCATAATTTGGGGTATGAGATCTTAAGAGGATTCTATAGCTCCTCCACTTTTCCCCTAAAATACCCAACAAAAAAACAACCGTCCTCCACTTTCCTCCCCTCCAACCAAACAACAGCTTAAATTCTACATGTCGTCTATTCTCACCTTCCGTTTCTGAACTTTGTCCTGTGCCGGCCATATCCAGCACACTGCTCATCTGCACCAGAGCCTACCAGAAGAATCCTGGCTTCAGACTTGTACTTGACACGTTCACACATTTCAACATTACTACTGTTCATCATGTTTTGATACAGCCAACCATCACCACCAGCTGCCAGCCATAGTGCTATTCCAATATTCAGGTCCTGAATCAATGTTTAGATATTACTTCTGTGTCTGATATTTAAAGAATAATTTTACTGAACAGACTGCTTCTCATTGTCTGGTTTTATCCTAACTATTTTACAGTATTTGGAAGTGTCTGACTATACCACTTCAGGGGAGTTCATCCCAACTTATTTTTGACACATTAATTGTTAAGAAAGATCATTTGTACAGTCAAGAAAAGGGAAACACTAAGCGTGAAGCCTCAATTAAACACTTGATAAGTTCTCATCTTTTCAAAAAAACTATGAACGGCCAGCATAACAGTCCCAAGAAATGTACCATGTAGGTCTTCGCAGGATTTATGAGTGACATGACATGTTTTGTTTCAGAGGTTAATTTCTGTAGATCAGCATCAATTTCTACAAGTCTCCATCTGAAATTTCGATGTTTCTACTAGTCAAAGGTCAGAGTACTTAAAAAAGAGAAACACAGATTACATAGAAATAAAGCAAACTAATGTAACGTAAAGCAACAGCAGATCACAATTGGAATATTTTAACTCCAACTGCTCCGGAAAAGATGCAACTCCAACTATATGGTGATCTCATTGGATTTTCAAATAGGAAAATTCAGAGGTTAGCCCAGAATATTCTTTTGAAGCAATAGTGCAATACCAGAACGGGATAATTATCTTTTCTAAAGAGCCTTGAGGACTGCCAACACACATATTCAACCTAAATGCATAAATTTCTATTTCATGCAGGACACTGATAAGTACATACCGTCTTGATGGGGCAATTCTTTGGAGTTCCTTAAGACCTGCCCTGGCTGAAATTCTATCAGGAGCACACTGACCATCAAAACTTACATTAAGCAGATCAATTGCATCTGCATTCAAGAAGATAAAATTCACAGCAAATGTCCAGAGAAAAAATGGTTATTGATTAGACTGCAAGAAAGGAGGTTAAAAATTAATTGTTGCAACCACAGACACTCACAGTTGGCATCTATGCACTGATCCAACAATGCTGCAAGTATCATAGAATCCAATCCACCAGAAAAGAGCAGTGCTATCGGATCACAGTTTTTGTGCACTGCCTACATTAAGGGACATTATGAACACATCAAGAGTGTTTCTAATAAAGTTTTCAAATTGTAATTTTAACAATAACATCTTTTATTATTTACTTTTTATTAATAGGTAATCATAATTGAACTATGGGAAGATAAATAGTAGTTCTGAGAAAGGGAAAAGAAGCCATTGACTCGTTGTTTAAGAGAAGCTTGTCTGAGGTATTCAATGAAGAAAATAATTCAATCATCATAATCTAGCGCATCCCATCATTTCAAAAAGAAAGAGAAAAAGCACTTCTCTGAAAAATGTGGCGCATACTTAACAGAAATACAAGGAATTGCAAGCAAACAAACTCTCACATATTCACAAGCTAAAGAATCAAATGTAAGGCAGGGCACAAAAAAACTGTACTTTGTATAACTTCTAAGAAGCAAGACCAGAAGAAATCTTTATAAGGAAGAAACATGCATTAAATTAAATTCTCTAATAGTATGCATGATGCATGGGTGTATAATAGCAACATGAATGTCACATTAGTAAGTCAGAACCTGATAAACTGTATCTGTTGAAGTCCGTTTCATTACAGATTCCCTCAATGCCGTCACCGCTTTTTGTACATTCAATGTAGACGAACACAAAATATGACCTAAAGGTATTGGAAGGAAAACAGAGTCAATAACCATGAGAGTCAGATATTAGGCCCAGAGCTTTAGAAACATCTTAAATGGCATCACATCTTGTTAGGAATACCAAGATAGTCAAGTTTCATTCTTAATAGAAGCATACTGTTTAAAAAAACGTAATTCAGTTCATCTACCTACCAGTACCATTGGGACAAATGTCCTGCTGCCAACAAGAAATCTTTATCTGAGGAATTTGCAATTCAACGGGGCTGGGTTGTATGAATTTCCTCTCCCACCTAATCAGTTCTTTAAGATTTGGATTAGCCCAATCATGCTTTGTAACGTTAGCAAATAATTCTCCATTGGTTTCAAAAGCACCAATAGACAAACTGTACACTCCACAAGGAAGTTCTTCCCAGAAGCCCAGGTTATGACTTTGCTCATAGGTACTGCAGCCTGTAAGCAGGTTCGTAGTACACATATATATTAGTATATTACAGTAAATTCAACGGAAACATAGTTGTTCAATCAAAAGCACATGAAAGCAACATATTGAAAATGTTGCCTGGAGATGGCACTTGTGAGGTGGAGAATGAATGCCATTATACCAATGCATATAAAAACGGGAGAAGCAAAGATACCCCAAACTATATTTCAAGGAACTGATGAAAACAGGAAAATAAAAATCAACGGAATAATCTGTTGCCCAGAATAATCGACGATAGAAATCGTGCCCACAGCCAACAGGCTAAACTCCAATTTTATTCATAGATAACCAAGAATGAACCCTGGCAAGGGGTATAAATAGCCTTCTAGTAAGAGACTCATCAGAAACCCTATTCGAGTCCAAATTAATTAAACCCTAATTAAGCCCAAATTAACTCTACTAACTACTCTACTAATAATAGGCCCAAACTAGCAAACATAACATAAACCTTATAATAATAAATAAACTATAATCCTAGTCTGCAACCAGCCCACGGAGGTGGGCCCAAGCCTGTTCCCGCCCCTTGCTCTCCCTGCTCTCTATCAGGAACATATAGACCCTCAAACTTCTTCTGTGAACCATTAAACAAAACAAGTTGATCTTTAGATAAAAATGACTCTTTCTTCCACAGCTTTTACTTTTTTGTTTTCGGACCCAATTTCTGGCTGCCATTTGGTAGCCTATTGGATTTTTTAAAATTCTTTAGAAAATGCCTTGACTTCTTAATTTGGCCAATGATTTTTACAAAAAAAAAACTCCCTCCGTCCCATTTAAACGTTCCCACGCGGTTTAAGACGTTTGACTGACCATAAAGTTAATTGATCCCTGTCATTAGTAGACTTATTTTTAGTAAATAAAATTTACATATCCAGAAACTACATTAAAATCGTTACAAAGCCTAATCAAGAAAATTTAAATTTCATAAAAGTTGGATATATAAAGTAAAAGATTAAGAAAAATGCACATTGATCGGAGAATAGTGGACGGGAACCTTTAAATGGGACGGAGGGAGTATCAAATTGAACGCCTTTTTTTGAAATTTAAAGAAGTTAGAGCATTTACAAGCATAGAATAATCCATTAGACTGCCATGTTGCAGTGTGTGATTAGTTACAAGAAAACCTACATAAGAGAGGATATATTTGATTTGAGTTTCTACTTTGTGTGCTTAATTTCCCCCCCACCCCACCCCCCACAAAAAAAAGATTAAGGTGTATGTGTTTCTTGACAGTTTGGGTGTATATCGGTTCCTTCCCCCCTATAGTAATAACAACAGCTAATATGAATAAGATGAAAGATACCTTATCTAGAAATGACGAGGAAAAAAACAATACAAATTTCAATCCTATGGGCAAGTGTTAATAAATTCTATTTCATTTTTTGTCAAAATGTAATCAATGATTTCTCAGTTTCCACTCTTAGTACTTAGTAGTTCTTTCTTGTTCCTACTATTAGGTGTAGACATGATGCATCAACTGAACCTTAGGGACCCGGAATTGAAACATGAATTTGGATTTAGTAAACTTCCCTAAATTTCCCTTATAACTGAATAAGACATTAGACCTTCTTATCAATTCTTATTATCATAGAAGTGCAATATGCCACAAAACTATAGGGACAATTTACTCAATAATTACACATTTTCTGAACAAGTCTACAGTAGAAAGAGTAAGAACGTAAATGGTCAATCAAGAACTATTCACCAGATCTTTCCGATGTTAAAGAAGGTGGTGACACAGAAGATAGCAGAAACCGAGAGTCCTCCTGTGTAGGCCAGTGAACAAGAAGGCTCCGCCTACCAAATGCATCTCTTCCAAACCACAAGGTTTTCGAGCTATTCTACATACAAGGACATAAACACCAGAAATAATCATCACATCACTTAAAGTAATGATAAAAAGAACTTACCAATGATAGTTACCTGCCAATATATCATAGCCCATGGCCCTTTGATGCGAGAAAGTACGTCAGGGATTGATCTATTTTGTCCATTTACAATACCACAGCTTCCTCTCAAGGATTGCATGAGACTCTCTGTATCGTTTTCATCACAAGCCACATGAATTCCTCCAAATATTTCACCTATATATTACCCACCAAAAAGTGCAGCAAAGTAAATCAAAGGGGAAACCTAGCTTTTGGATTCTGCCGTTACGCATAACTAAATGATACAGCTAACTCCAAAGGATCACATTTGACATATAATCAAAATTCAGAAACAAGTTTCAGAATACATGTCCTTCAGAAAAAATTAAAATCATAATCACGTTTCAAAAGAACAACAATATGAGAAAAAGCAACAATCTTTGTTCCATGCTCCAATAGTTTACACCCATACCATTGTATACAAGAATGTTCCCGCAATCATCCACCAAGGGCTGAACAATAGGATTGACGCCTCTGAGTTGCAATGTAGCCCCAATAAATCGTAATTCGCCATGCAACTTTACAATGCCACCATTGCTCAACCTGCTGTCAGTTACTTCATTATAATTTTCATAGCCAGCTATAGAAACGATTTCACATTCCCCTTCACCATAGAATGAGGTTTTGGAATGAATAATCACACTCTTACTCCCTAAGCTATCTGGACCTCTTCTAAGCAGAACAGATTTAATATCCTCCTCTGAAACTAAAGTCTGCAAGATAAGATGTCAAGGCACAATGGAGATATACTAGGATAAATACAACTAAGCAAAAGTGAGTTTGTATCATTACAGTAAGATTATGGAAAGTTAAATTACTTTTTGATGAAATTGAGGTGTTGGAAAGATGAAATTAGGGAGAAGAGACGATAAGTCTATGCGAATTCCGGAAACAAACAGCGCTATTCCACACATCTTTCGGCACCTCTGTCAGAATTCCCTTAAACCCGATCATTCCTTTTGTTGGTAGAAAACGAAGGACGTATTTCACAATTTCACCTAGTGAAAATATTTGAAATATATAGAGATACTTACAACTTCAGAACAAAAGCCTCCATAGCATAGTGGTAGTGCGTTCGCTTCGTAAGCGAAAGGTCGCGAGTTCGATCCTCGCTGGGGGCTTTTTTGCGCTTTTTACCCTTTAAAGGTTAAACACGTTTCGTAATAACGTAGTGCCATCTTTTAAACTTTAAACCATTGTTCTGAAAGGCACCGCCAAACCTCAAGCCTTTGAAGCCTAGGCGTGAATAAATGGATAAAAGTACAGAGAAACCGTAATATTCATAAAAAATGAATAAAACATGAGTCTTAGACATTTACACGTTTGTGTTTAGCCTTTGTTTTGAAATTCAGCCTTGCGCATGTTTTTCGCACAGCTATCCCACACCGAAAGTTTATACATGAATCAGGCTTCTAATTTCCTATAAATATGTAGGAAAAGCGCTAGATAACGCAGCTTAGGCAAAGCTTCAAGCCAGTATATGGGCTTCTCTCGCCTGTTGAACCAAAAATGAGCTGGTCACGCATTACGCCTTTGTTCACGCATTAGATAGACGCGAGGCGTTTCTTTCCCGCATTGCGCCTAGGCCCGCCTTTGCGGCGCCTTTGGACGCTTTTTAGAACACTGCTTTAAACTGCCCCTAGTATCAATTGGTATGTATATTTTTACTATGATCTAAATAAATATCCCTCTCATCAAAGATTTTCACTTTCCATTTTTTTCGTCCCACTTAAAAGTTCTCACTTTTTATTTTAGAAAACAATTAACACTCTTAAATAATAACTTAATCATCTAATATTAAAAATAATATTATCTTCTGTTCCATAAAAGTTGCAACAGTTTGATTTTCACGTTTGTCAACGTGCAACTTTGACAGTAATTATATTTATTTACATATTATTAAACATTAAAAAAGTTAATATATTGGAAATTTACATTAATACAAATTTATTAATATTTTATACATAATATTTTTATTATATATATTATTAGAAAATCGTAGTCAAAGTAAGATGTGTGAATAGTGCAGAAATTCCAATGTTTCAACTTTTATGGAACGGAGGAAGTACATTTATAAATTTACACTTATCATCAATAAATCATTATATTATATACTCATCAAAATTATTTCTCAAAATAAATTTAAATTAGCATATTTAATTATTATCTAAATAATCATGTTATTTTGCTATGAGCACATTTGAACGGGACAGAGGTAGTATTAAAATAAAATAATTTTTTGGTTTTTACATTTTTCAAAAATAGGAGTACAATAAATTAGTGGTATAAAGTATAAGCTCATACAATAAACTCATCTCCTTCGCGCACCACTTAACTTGTTGGGCACACCCTTTCTTCCCATTGCTGGACAAATTTGTCCCCTTTCAAATTCGAACTCACTCACTTGCACTCTTGTAGTATGTAGCTCACCGCACTCACTCTTATAAGTTATAACCTAGCGAACCAAACTCCTTGTATTGTTTTTAAATTAAAATAAGTTTTTATATTTCCTTAAATTTTGTTAACCTTTTGAATGGTGTTTCACTTTATTTTTAAAAACCAACTATCTTTGTTGTAAAAAACGACTATCTTTAAAATATACACAAAATGTTAATAGAATAAGGATACAAATTCTAACTACCATCGAACAACTATTATATAAATATTTGTAACACATTATAATGTTCTTATGATTTTTTTACAATCTTCGTTTACAATATGTGATGAATCTGAAGATTATCTAAAAATAATAATCATGACTTTCGGACTAATGACATATTTATTTATCTTAATTCATATTAATCACTTCATATGCCCCACAAATTGTATTCCAGTTTTTCTTTTTTATCTATTACATTAAGTTTGTCGCATACAATGTTAGTTATACTTGGGTGGTCATACATACTTTTTCATTCATCTTTTTATTGAATATTGTCTTTATTTTATTATCATATAAATATTATACGATAATATAATGGTCATCTTTTTATTGATACTATTCACGATGTTTTTAATTAGAGTGGTTTTGAACTCAGACCAGACTAGACGTAAATAGACTAGACCATATCAAATTCCGATGGTTGTATAACACATAGAATGGTCATCTAAAAAATCAGATCGGTTTCGACCAAACTAAACTAGACCGAACTTAAACATACCAAATCAAATCAATTCATACTCAACCAGAGACTAGGCTAGAAAATTTTAAACTAACTAAAGCACCCTTATTGTTAATATAATTACAAATTAATCTCTCCTAATAAATGAATTTCTTTCAAATTAGTATGTATACTTCAAATTTCAATTATGACTTCTTATAAATTAATAACTCTGTGATCATGTTTAAATTTGTATAGTATAATGAATATTATCCAAATGTGGAGGGTCCCACCTTTTAAAACTCGATCAACACTATGCTAATTTCTCATTAAGGCCATATATTTTATATCAATGTTGAACATGTTGACCATATTTAGGATGTTTTTAATTGTACTGATTTTGATCGAGATAGATTAAACAAATTATACCAGACTAGACTTAAATAATACGGAGTAGTAAAATAAATGTAAACATTTTTTATACTTTAGTGAGTAAAATTGTAACTTTAGTGATGATGACAATGTTAATATTTCCATTGTAGTGACTATAGTGATATACTTGTAGTGACTTAAGTCACAATTTAGGCTTTTTCCATCAATATTACAAAATTAAACATAAAAGACAAAAATATGACTTATTTTAATTTTTATTTTAAATGACATATTCAGTGACTAGTTCACAATAACTCATCATTTGTTAGTGACTTGTCACTATGAAATACACTATAGTGACTTTTGTCCAGTTGCTTGTACATAGTGGATAGTTATATTTTTGTCCACAAAACATAACTAGTCATATTTTTGTTTGATGAAACTCAGTTAGCATTAAAGGTGTCATTTTTTCACATGTTTATCCATAATAATATTTAAGAAAAAACCCTATTAAATAATCATATAGTAAAAAAAGTACAGTAACAACATCTAATCCTTAGTCCCGAAAAAATTTGGGGTCAGCTAACATTAATCAATACATGATTTCGGAGCCAACATGAAAAATAAAGATAATAAAGATAAAAAGGTAAGATATGATAAAAAGATATGAGTCCCATTCTGGTGCGTCCGGCCACACAAGAAGCGCCGTCCGGCCGACGGCTTTTGGCCACCTTCTCAGTGGAATTTTTTGATTAAATTTTTATGGCATGTTCTTCATCAAATCTAGTTTATCCATACAAAAAATAAGCTAAAAACTCAACCCCGAAGGTCGTCAAATGATTTTTTGAAGTTAATTGTGCTAAATTATACATAGAAAACGCAGTTAACTTCCAAAAATCATTTGACGATCATCCGGATTGAGTATTTAGCTGATTTTTTTGTGGATAAACTAGACTTGATGAAGAACATGTCACAAACATTTCATCAAAAAATTCCACCGAGAAGATGGCCAAAAGACGTCGGCCGGACGGCCCTCTGGTGTGGCCGGACGCACATGAATACTCCTCAATATATAAAGTAGAGATAATATATACGGAGTATATATCTGTGTGCGCGCGTGTGTAATTGATAATAAAAAAGATATGTTTTCAAAAATTTACAAAAGCAATATATTTATCATATGAAATATCATAAAAAGTTATTCAATTCAATATATTTTTGTCAAAATCGGAGAACAAATGAAAATAGTATAACATTTTATACACAAAAGTCGTTCAATCCATTTTATAATAAATGTTATTTGCACTTCAATCTAAATTAGATCAATTTTGAGTCATCAACCAAAATTATCCTATACCTAAAAGCACTACACTGGAGAGAGAAAAATTCTCCCGCCTAAGCATTCTCCGCCTAAACTCCTAAAATGTAATTTCACTTTTCGCAAAAAAAAAATCATCCTATACCTAAAAGCACTACACTGGAGAGAGAAAATTCTCCCGCCTAAGCATTCTCTGTCTATCCTATACCTAAAACCACTACACTAAAGAGAGAAAATTTTACCGCCTAAGCGTTCTCCGCCTAAAATCTAAAATGTAATTTCACTTTCTGCAAAAATAAAACCATCGTCCTCCTATAACTAAAAGCACTACATTGGAGAGAGAAAATTCTCCCACCTAAGCATTGTCCGTCTAAAATCTATAATGTAATTTCATCCTATACCTAAAAGCACTACACGGGAGAGAGAAAATTTTCCCGCCTAAGCATTCTCCGCATAAAATTCTAAAATGTAATTTCACTTTCCACTAAAAAATATCATCATCATCATATACTTACAAGCACTACACTGGGGAGAGAAAATTTTCCCGCCTAAGCATTCTCCGTATAAAATCCTAAAATGTAATTTCACTTTCCCAAAAAAAACCATATACTTAAAAGAACTACACTAGAGAGAGAAAATTCTCCTGTCTAAGCATTCTCTGCCTAAAAGCCTGAAATGTAATTTCACTTTCCATAAAAAATATCATCATCATCATCATTATCATATATATATATGTATATATATATATATATATATATATGTATATATATATATATATATATGGTTCAAATAAAAAGAGGTCTTAACGTGCAAAGTGAAAAGTTTACACTTTTTCATGTTTCGCTTGCACTTTTTCTTGCTTTCGTTGCACTTTTTCGCGATAGCTCAAAAAAATCGGTTTATTTACAAAACTGCCACCGTCATTTTGGCCGAATTTGGCCAAAATCAAAATAGCCAAAAAATGCAATGCGAACAACAAAAAGTGCAAGCGAAACATGAAAAAGTGAAAACTTTGCACTTTGCACGGGAAGACCACTTTTCATTTGAACTCTTCCCTATATGTATATATATGTATATATATACATCTATATGTATATATATACATATATATGTATATATATACATAACATATATATATATATATATATACATATATATATACGTATAC